TATTTTTTTTTTTTTAAAAGTCTCCTCTTTTAATTTCTTCAAAGTGGAGCTTTTTTAACGTTTAAAAAAATGGTTTCAGGATCAAATACTGATCGAAATAATATTGTAAACCTTGACGAAATAATCCATTTAAAAGGTTTATTACAATCTATTCATGAACGTATCGAAAAAATTGAGAATGATGTAAAAGGAAAATTATTTAAATCAAAGGATCAACAGGAATTAAGAATGGTACTTATGGGTCCCCCAGGTGCCGGTATGTATTGTGAATTATTTTAGTGAATTTTTAATTGATCTTTTTTGGATTTTTTTTTTTATTGATGATTTTTTTTATTGATGTTCACTTTTTTTTTCTCCCACCCCCCACTCCATCCCACCCCTTAGGTAAGGGAACTCAATCTCCAAGAATAAAGGAAAAATTTTGTGTTTGTCATTTGGCTACAGGTGATATGTTACGTTCACAGGTAGCTGCTAAAACTAAATTAGGTTTAGAAGCTAAAAAAATTATGGAATCTGGAGGTTTGGTTTCTGATGAAATTATGGTTGATATGATTCATGATGAATTAAATAATAATCCTGAATGTAAAAATGGGTATGTTATCTACGTATACACGATACACGTCATTAGTAACGATTATAATAATTTATTTATTTATTTATTCTAGATTCATTTTGGATGGTTTCCCTCGTACTGTAAAACAAGCTGAAAAACTTGATTCTATGCTTGATAAAGATAAGAAAAAACTTAATCATGCTGTTGAATTAGTTATTGATGATAATTTATTGGTTTCACGTATTACTGGTCGTTTGATTCATCCTTCTAGTGGTAGAACTTATCACAAAATTTTCAAGTAATCTTGTTTTCATTATAATAGTATTTTTATTTTGATTTATTAAAATATTAATTATTTTTTATTTCCTTTCTTTCCCCTTTCAAGTCCACCAAAAGTTTCTGATAAGGATGATGTTACTGGTGAACCTTTAATTCAACGTTCTGATGATAATGCTGAAACTTTAAAGAAAAGATTACTTACTTATCATCAACAAACTACTCCTGTAGTTGATTATTATAAAAAGAAAGGTATTTGGTCAAGTGTTGATGCTTCTCAGAATCCAAATGTAGTTTGGAATAGTTTATTAGCTATTTTTAGTGAAAATGGAAAATCTAAATAAGGTAAGAAAGATGATGATGAAAAAAAAAAAATAATAATTTTTTTTTAGATAATTTTGATAATTTTCATTTTTTTTTTTTTTTTTTTTTAATATATATAATTTAATTTTAAATGGTAGAAATTTTTTAAAAAATAATCCCCACTTTTGTTTTAATGATTGATTCAACAATATTTGATTAATTAAATAATTATATGAAAGTATTAGTAAAAACTTTTTTTTTTTATTGTTATTGATCGGATATGGATAGATTGCAGTTTATCAAAATGAAAGTATTAGAATCTTAATATTTCATGTTTATAATAATATATAATATGTATACACACATATTAAAAATAATAATTTGGTAATATCTTGATAATTGATCAATTTATCTCTGCAACTCATTTTGCTTGATCTTATTTTGCTTGATAACTTGTTTTGACATTTCGAAATTTGGTAATTTATCTTGATAACTTATTTTGCTTGATCAAATTTATCTCGACAACTTATTTGCTCGACAACTTACTTTGCTTGATCTTATTTTGCCTGATAACTTATTTGACAATTTATCTTGACAACTTATTTTACTTGACAACTTGTTTTGTCATTTCGATAACTTATTTTGACAATTTATCTCGATAACTTATTTTGCTTGACAACTTGTTTTGACATCTCTACAACTTATTTTGACAATTTATCTTGACAACTTATTTTACTTGACAACTTGTTTTGGCATTTCGATAACTTATTTTGACAATTTATCTCGATAACTTATTTTGCTTGACAACTTGTTTTGACATCTCAACAATTATTTTGACAATTTACCTCGACAACTTATTTTGACAATTTATCTAGTTTGACAATTTATTTCAATCTATTTTGATGATTTATTATCTATGTTCTAAACTATTTTTTACTATTTTTACAAAAAAGCATTCATCTATCAATTAAAATTATATAATTATAATCATTTTTCTATCCATTTTATTCTTTTTCGGATATTTTTTGCATAATCTTTTCACGCCAGTCTAGATAATCACTATATAACTGCGTTTCCCAGTAATTGACGATTTTCTAAAATATCATAAAATTTTTTAATACATATATTACTATCATGATACATATACTATTATCATGTTACTCGTAATAAAAAAAAATATATTTACCATTTCTCCCTGTGAAACACACGATCCGATACAAGAAATTTCTTCTTCTTCATTATCTACCGATTTTGAGATTGTTTCCTCATCATCTTCATCTTTTTCATGTTGTACGTTTTTCTCTTCATCTTGCAATTTTCGTTTTCTACCTCTTTTTGTCTCTTTACCATTATCATTCGTTTTACTTTCATTACCTTTAGGTTTGGATTTTTTTTTAAGAGGTACTGGTTTTTTTAATGCTAATCTAAGTCCAGCTTTTTTTTGTGATCTAAGTTCATCGATGTAACTCTTACAATAGGTTTCAACAAGTTTTGTATATTTGTTTGATTCAGCACGAGTAATTGTAATCTCTGGTAGATCAATTAACTCTTGTAAAGTTATTCGATTTTGAAGATCCTACATGTGATTAAAAATAAGTTTACCTGATTAACTTGTATTAACATGTAAACATGTAGACGATATTTATAGACGATAGATAATATATAAATACTTTATGTACTATATATATATACATGATACTACATAAACTAAAATACTTACTTTAAACGCCTTACAAACACACCAAAATATTGCAACTTTAAATACGTCATCATCCCAATCTATTGCTTTAATATTAGCACTTGTCAAATCTTTTGTCCAATTATTTTTAAAAATTTCAAACATTGATTCAAGGTATGGTAAAGTTTTTGGACATCCAAAACGTGACGCTAATAGTTCAAAACTTAAAGTGGAAATGTTTAAATTTTTCTTGATATAAGAAAGAGAAGAAGAATAATTTTGTTCCGTTGTACTTGCAAGTTTTACTATTGAACGTTTATCAAATGGAATTTTTAACCTTTGTAAAAAAAAAAGAACCAAATTAGTCATAAACGTTAAATATATTTTCTCCTTGTTTTAAAAAAAAATGGAATATATTATACATTTCACACGCGACGTGAATACAAAGTGCAGGTTTACAACTATGCCAATGTGTAATAAGTTTGGAGTCTATTTTTCTTTCGACTTCCTTTTGAATTTCAAAAGCTTTTGTTTTAATTTCTACTTCGTCATTTTGAAGTCCAAGTTCGCGTATCACGTTCGTAAAAATGGTAGTGTTTCGTCTCAACATTTCGTTTTATTCTAAATCAAAATATAAATTAAATATATATATAATTTTTTTTTTTTTTACCAACGTCAAGTTAAAATACAAATAACAAGGAAAAAACGAAAAAAACGGGAAAATTGGAATTGAATATCAATTAACGAGTTTTTTTATTTTCGCGCGTTAAAAACGCGAATAATATTCACCACGTGATTTTATATTTCTGTGTTATTTCATGTTTTAATGTCAGATTGTAGATATACTGTAACACTACTGCGAGTAATTTAGCTGAAAATAGATCCCTTAATTTTAAATCAAAGTCAGCATGAGCAAACCCAAATATTTATTCGTTAATTGTGATGAGCTGTAGATCATGGCCATGGTTACGAAAAGGGCTGAATATTTATTGCAATTTATTGTATAACTTATATACATTAATAAGCAAAATTTTGATTATTTTGCATTTTTTCATTTTACATTTATTAAAGATAATTAATGCTTTCATTAATTATACTTTATATAGTAAACAACTTTTATAATTTTCTTTACTAATCATGATTTTTTTTTGTATGTTTTTGTTTTATCTATTATTTATCCACAATTCACCTTATTGCATAATATTTTGTCCTAAAACTTCACTAATATTATAGTACATTATAAATAACCCTGCTTTATTACTGTCCTATTACATAGTTTTAATAAGCTAAAAAAAAATGTTTTATTGAAAATAAAATGAATTGCTATTACAGAGATCTATTGTACGTATAAATAAAATAAACAAAGTCCTAATCAGAAAATACAATCAAATAAAAAGACAAATCAGACATTTGTATATATTATTTTATTTTTATAAAATAATTTGAAATAATAAAATTTACTCAAATGAAATTGAAAATGAAAAATTGGAATGTATCTCTTGAAAGTATTAAAAAAATAAAAATAATAATTTTAATAATAAAACTTAATCCGGTTATATAGTATTATTATAATCTATTCATTTATTTTATTGCAACAATTCAAATTACATAATACCTTCATAAATGCATATGCATCCTTTATAAATGAATTCCTTCTCTATAACAGGGTGGAATATCCTCATATTATCACATTATTGCCAATCATTTTGATCATTTGTTAATTATCTATTCAATATTATCACATAAGTGACATAACAAAACCACCATTATGGGTTATTTTTTTTGCAAATTCTGCTATACATAAAACTAAAATAATTTGAATTGCCCATCTTAAGTCAAAATGGTCAAAATTAGCCAAAATTACATTGTAGCATGTGATTATTATAATTAATAACTAATATGAATATTCAAAATTTACAATATCAATATCTAGTGATCAGATTTAAATGAAACATATACCATTAGATTTGCCTCATTGAGAAGATTTGAATGGTTATAAAAGTATTGCAATTAGATCAATAATGATGAAGCTATTACATTTCAAAGTTTTATATATATTATTTAATCATTATATAATATAAACCTTTAAAGCTAAAATATTTTAGTTTTTAAAGTTTAATTTCAGTTTCATGTATGAATTTTACATAATAAAATAGTATATATTAACTTTTTTATAAATTAAATAATTTTTACTAATGGCAGCTTTTTATTTATAATGCATTTATTAAAAATAATTTAAATAAATAAAAGAAAATTTCTATTTATATTTATATTTACATATATTTACACATTGTTGTAGTTTAGCCATATATATTTCTTTAACTTTTATTCAGAAATCTTCTTTTTTGATTGCAAATACATTTATCTAATAGTATTCATTAGGTATTGTATACATCTTCTAAAAATGTAATAACAACTGGTTTGTTATTTAAAGTTCTAATCAACTCTCCTTAAAAAGTTAAAAAATTTATTATTATTATTCATTTTATATAATATTTTTTTAGTAATGGTTTACCTTTGTTATTTAGTAACAAATAAAGTTATTTGAATATTTTGAACATTTAAATTACAATATTTCAATAAAAATTTATGGCCTTATGTTTTTACATTTTTAAGAAATATATTAATATTTCTCTATTTATTTTGTATGCTCCCTTTAGAATAGGTTTTTAAAACTTTAAAGCTTCAATTTATTTAGTCTATTTTATTGGATAAATATGTTTTTTACCCTCTTGTATGATGCTTAAATCTAGCAAAAATTTGTAAAAAAGAAATTCTTAATATAAAAACTTTTTTATTTTGCCTGCTTTGCAAGTTTACTTATTCGGTTTTTTTTTTGTTAATTCTGGCCAGAATTAAATGATCGGCATAAAAATTTCCTTTTTGAGATAAAGCGCATCACACATGGGGGCTGGATATAGATTTACCCTATTTTATTAATGTTTTATACTTTTTTGTAAATTTCGGGAAGACGGGTAGGTTCGAGGAGATGGGAACAAGAAAATTTATTTTTAAATACAGGCTGAAATAATTATTATTAAATTTAATAATTTAATTAGAAAATCTATCTATTTTGTAAACTTAAAATTATTATTATAAGGATTTGATTTATTGGCATCAGTATATAATTATACAATATTAAATTTAATTGTGCTAACCGAAGTGAAGTAAAGCTAGACAATTGGGTTTCAAATCTTAGCGAAACATTTCCTTCCGCTTCTTGTTGTTTCTGGCTTGTTGGATCAATTCTGCATAATGTTCTCTATATTTATGAGGTAAAAACAGATTTTAATTAAGGCATAATAAAATCCTAAAAAACCAAATATACAAATAAAACATATAAAAAGGATATCATAAAAATTGATTTCTTCCGGATTGGTTAATGACTTCTTAATTAAATTAGCATTTTTTGCTTCGTTGCTCTGCTGAGCTTTTTCCCATTTTTTCACTTCTCTTAATAAGTCTCCTTTACTTTTTGGGTTTGTCGCATCGACGTTTGCATTATAAAGATTTATGAAATAAGAATGACGAGCTATCATTTCATTTTTAGTTCCGTGGGTTAACAAACCCTCATCCTTTATAATTTAAAAGTATTGTTAAATTGCGACACTTGTAATTATAAAATTTATTAGAATTACCTTTAATAGATTCTTCAATTTTCTATCATTCAATACGGAATACGCCATTTTTGGCTTTTTAAATAGCTTGATTGAGTTCTTATTTTCATTATCATTTATTCGTCGCCTCTTTTGCTCGTTATTATCGCTATCATTTATATTAAACGATTTTTCCAATATACGTTTTGATATAGTTTTTTCTTCAACCGATAAAAAATCGGAATTACAATCTGGAATTGACTTGAAAGAATCTGGTGCTTTCCCTTCGCCACCACTTATTCTTCTTTTAGCTTGTTTACCAAGAGTGTATAAATTCATAATTAATCCCCTAAATTATATAATATGTGAATAAAACGAGCACATGTTATACAATATAAATAATAAACGCGCTCTCAAGTATACCCAATGGGATACCTATTAGTTTTGTATTCTTTAATAAGCTCTTCTATCACAGTATTCTTATAAAGTTGTGTAAATGTTGTAAAAGAATTTTCACAAATAGGACAACATAACGCAGTTGTTTTGTTATTGTAATCAAACTTTATACACCCAGCACAAAACGTATGTTGACATTTTGACGACATGGGGACATTATAAAAGTCCTTACAAACAAAGCATTTTAGCTCTAATTCTAGTTCTGCTAATCCATTCAAATCGTCAGAATCGGAATCAACTTGTCGCGTATTACGTTGAAGTGAAGTAGGACGGGATTTTGTAAGATGGAGTTCTTCTGAAAAAGGATCAACTTCCATAGAGTCAATTGAAGTTGAACTATTCATATAAGAAGGTAAGTCAAGTGATAAATTAGATGGTGTCGCAGAAGCGGAACTAAACATGTTGGCTAGTGTTGATAGTTGAGTTTTGAAGAAAATATAGTATAATAGGAGAATAAACGTAAATTTGTAAAGTTATTAGTTAATACACTCGAAAAAATGTATTTTTTTACGCGTTTTTTGGATAGACACTATATTTAACTATTTAATTAACCCTTGTATCACCACCAAATGAGGAATCTTACCACACGGTAAGATTCCCCCACCAAATTGGTGGCGCATGCCGCGCAGCTATATATAAATCACTGGATTATCCAAGATCTTGTTAAATCATAAAATATTTCCTTCTTTCTACTGTATACAGTCAAACCTTTATATAACGATATGTCGGGACATATATGAAATTTTTAGAAAATATCGTTATATCAAAGTTATACCGATATTTATATGTCCTCACATATAGTGGGAAAATAAAATTTTATCGGTATAACAAGTTTTTAATAGTATATCGGTATATCGAATATCGGTATATCGAGGTTAGACTGTAAATGTAAAATTTAACCGTTAATGTTAATATTCATATAAAATTATAAATACGTAATGTATTAATTTAAATATCATTCAATCGATCTTGAAAAAAACCATATCGCCTCGATTTTCTTCAAAAGTATCACATATAGGCGCAACAAGGTTAGAGACGAACATTAAAAAAATTCTATTAAGCTATAATCATGATTTTGGTAATATAGATTTCTCATACAGTAAATTGAATTTTTTTGAAAAAATTGTAAGTGTTATATAATGTAAATTTATTGACTCTATACTTTTATAATTACCAAACTTAATAATATACACATCAATTCTTTCTCAAAGAAATTATATTTATATATTTATTTATCTAATTTTAATTTTATATTTAAACATTCACTAACATCGGTTTGTAATACTGTAATATAATACTCCTTTCATACAACTTATGCGTAATTTTTGTAAAAAATTTTTTTAGTAAACAAATTTCAAAAATAACAAATGGAAACCGAGTTTAACAAATTAAATATCTCAGATAAAGACACCGATACAACATTTGTTCGTATTGCAATAAACCTTTACTGAAGAATTATGGTGTGGATGGATCAGTGGAAATCTTAGTTAATAAGAGATACATAAGAGATACAATGTATAAACCCAACTAAAGAAGTATATAGTAGCTTATTTCTTGAATGGGTACCATGAGCCTAAACCAAGAAAGTTCCCTTGAAAAGGCTAAATGGATCACAGAATATAACAGACGAATATTTAAGCGAAGTATGTTTCTATATTATATTATATCTAATTTAATTAATTTATTTTTATTGTCTAATATTAAAAATCATTAAATTTTTTTTATTGTAAATATAGCTTAAAATACATTGGAGCTTATTTAAAATAAATTATCTTTTTATGAATTAACCAAAGACCCAAAAACTGTAGAATTTATGAATAAAAATGTTATATCATATATCAATAAGCTTACATGAATTTGGATATTGTCATAAAGATTTACATACTGGAAAAATTTTACAAATTAATAATAAAGTTACATCTTATCTTTCAGACTATGGATTATCTGAACCAGCAATTGAACAGAAGTCGGATGATAAAAATATACGGAGTAATGCCAAATATTGCTCCAGAAGTCTTAAATGGAGAACCATATACATTATCTGTTGATATTTATAGTTTCGGTGTGTTTCTAGAAAACCACCTTTTTACAATAAAAGACATGATTTAAATTTAGCGTTAGTAATATATAATGGACTTAGATCAGAATTTGGAAAAGGAATAAATATATGAACGCTAATTCAAATGAAAAACCAACAACTGATGAATTATATGATATATTTTCTTTTTGGTATTCTTCTATTAGAGGAGCAAAAGATAAGTCGGTTATAAAAGGAAAAGAAATTAAAGAAGTATTTAAAGAAGCATTTAAAGAAGCATTTAAAGAAGCTGATAAAGAAATACCAAATACTTTAACTTCATATGAAAAGAATTCGGATGCTGAGAGCGTTACGTTTAGTAATTTATTACCAAAACCTGTTAATTCATCCATTTTAACTTCGTATATTAATATATTAATGATGAAGGTATTTTCTATTTTAAAATTTATTATAAATAAAAAATTTTATGATATTAATTTTTATTGTTTTAATAGCTTGCGATTCTCAATTAATCGACTTGGAAATTCCCAATTAAGAGGTAATATAAGCATTATCTTTATATAAAATTCAAAATAATAGACGCGTGCGATGAAAATAGCTGATTTAAAGTAAATTAAATTTTTTCGGGTTTAATTTTTAGTTTATAGTGATAAAGTTTCTTGACGTTTTTTTACCGTTTAAAATAAAAAAAAATTTGGTTCGCTTATTTTCAATGGGAAATGTATCAATAATTATATATTAATTACCTATTTAATTACACAAGTACGTCTTTTTTTTTCTCTTTCTTTTGTCCACTTAATTTAAATCACATCATCGCTTTCATTAAGCATCGTCTTAAACTTTTTAGTGCTTTTCGTTTTTATACTTTACTATTAACATTAGCGTCTAGATTAGAAGTATTAATGGCACTTACAACATTTACACATAACTTGATTTACGAATAATAAAACCTTACAAAAAATCCATTCATAAATGTACGGATAAGTTTGTCTGCAGATTCTATTTCACGTTCAATATTTGTTACATTAATTTTTTTACATTACTTTCATCATCAACGAATTCACTTAAATTCTTTAACCGCTCTTGTGATTTTTGACTCAAATCTGGACTCATTGCAATACGATGGAAAATCACAATTTATTCACCAGAGGATTCAACTACTATTCCTGATCCAGAATAAGAAGGATCAACTAAAATCTTCGGCGCACCCAAACTGATTTTTGAATTGTTTCTATATCCAAGTTATATTAGTTCCAATTTCATATCAATTGAGGTTAATAAATTTATAATTCCTTTAGGAAAATAATGCGAAACAAAATGATATTCTTAACAACCGGCTTTTTGAGTTAACTTCTCCAATAATCTTAATCTCTTTTTATCAAGATCAAAGATCAAAGAATTAAATTTTCCAGTATTTTTTTCATTACAGCTGAAAGAGCGAAGAGCGGTACAACGATAATGAGTATGATATGTATGTATGGTATATTCATTATCTATATTTTCGATCTATTTTATGTGAACTATACATATTTTTGTAATTTAAATGAATTTCCAGTTTTTTTTGTTACACACTATATATTATTTATATTGCCAGATGCTTCTATTAATAGACTGGAGAATGAATTTCTTCTCTTTTTGCACGTTCATTAGAAATAGTGTCTCTACTAATGCATCTCTTCATGTGATTATCTGCATAGCGAGAGCAAGCTATATGCTTTTCAGGAATGAATACTAGGGAGTCACATACAGTGCAATATATATAATTGTTTCTATTCCGGAAGGATGAAACCTTTACCTTCTTCATGAAATTTTGCACGCATTTCAATATAACCATTCTTAGAAAAGATGCCTGGGTACTCTTCAAGTATTCCTTGCTTCGGAAGGTAAAAGTGTGCTCGTTAAAAGATTAAAAATTGTACATATTCTTTTTTTAGTGATAATCAGAAAATAACGATGTTGGGTTAAAGTAAAGTCTGGGGATTGTTTGGATTGTTTGGTAATTCTTCTGTAAATGGTCCACGAACACGAGAGTACCACATTTCTGGTGTTTCATTATCATGTTTATGTTTTAAAAAGGCTAATGCTTTTCCTATCCTTTCATATAATTCATCCCTATTAGGGGCGTTATCTAAATCCATTTTTACAAGTGTTTAGGCAGATTATAAGCAAGATTACACACTACTAAATCCAAATTCATTTTTATTCGATTACGCCTTCTTGTTCGGCGTGAAAACAGATTCGTAACTACTGTATAGCTATGTTAGGTTAGTAGAATATGAAAGCAAATGTAATTAATTAATGTCACTTGTAAATACACGCACATATTTAAAAAAATCGAAGTAAAATGTTTATTATATTTTTGTAAAATAATACGTGAGAAAGGGCCAGCCGGATGTTAAATGAATAAAACAAATTTCTTAATATTGCGGTTCATCGTGAGTACTTCTTTGGACATATTATTAATAATTCTGTCACACAGCCCTGTAGTACGCATATCTTTGTTGCAATGAAAATCTGAACAGAAAATATTATTATGCAAACACTACATACGGTAATACACTAGTAAAAAAAACTACACAAATTGCAATTAATTTTTATTTATTTTAAACGAATTACAAGCATATATGAGCAATCAAAAGTATTTGTACTTCTTTCAACATCCTTATATTATTATATTCATGTTGTGGAGGCATGGGTGATAACGTATGAACACCATAGATTTATTTATTATCGACTAATTTGTTGATATAATAGCCTTGTTAATATGTTATTTTAATGTTAGAATCGATAGATATACTTTTTGGTGTACAAACCTTCTATAGAGTTATCACGCTCTCCAAGGTCATACCATTCAAGGTCATCATCATCATACGCTACTCCCCTAATTTTTGAAAGGATCCTTGAGGTTTCATTAATAGCCCAATAAGGATCGTAATTAAGCTCTTGATGTAATTTTGCTGTTAAGTTTGAGAATTCTATCAGGTTTCTGCCCGCAACCAAGACCTCCCTAAAATATATAAAATTAAAAATAAAGGTAAAAAGAAAAACAAGAGGACAATTGACTTGCTTTAATGGAGACTCCGTAAGCGAGAGATCATATTTTGGTTTGAACTGATCTGGCCAGGTTTCGGCTTTATATTGTTCATTAAGGAGAGAAATTGCATATTGTACGTCTTCGATGACTGAAGTACCCGGAATGGAAAAAACCTCCTGTTCAGCATTAGCGTATGTCCTGGCATACTTGATAATTTCTTGGCGATATCTTTTAAAGGATGAAAGATTCAAGATTGGATACGTGGTTTTCTTTGACAACTGAAGAACTGCTTACATCATCTTCTTCGCTCCATGCTACTTTCTTCTTTGATTTCGTTTCTTTGTGTTTAAAGACGCGTGTACGTTTAGAGATACGTGTATTTTGGCTTCTAGTTGTGAGTGGTTTGGATTTAACTTCTCTAGGTGTTCTAGGTGTTCTAGGTGCTCTACAGTTCCTCGCGTAATGTCTGGGCCGTTTGCAGTTAAAGCAGATTTTATTGTTTTTGTTGTTGTCATTTCTTCGTTCTATATTAGTTGCATTTGAAGACATCTTAGCTATAGTAAAACAAAGAAAAATGTCTCCAACATCGGTAAATAAACAACTTAAGGTTACATAGGGCTTGAACCAGCTGATCAATATATAAATGCATTACACAGAATAGTAATTTGAGATCACTATAATGAATATTTTACTGGAGAACCAGAAACACAACAGCGATAAGTAAAAGGATGATGACACATTTATATACTACTAGATCAGTAAATAACTAATACTTAGAAAATTAACCACTAGTAATTCACATCAAAAATTTTGAGTTACACTATGTCATTAACTCTTGCAATTTTGAATATTTCAAGAATGGGAAAGAATTCCATCCGAAACTTACATTAATTTAATTGAGAGTATGCTACATTGAATTGAAGCATGCATTAAAAACAATGGATGGCCAACTAAATATTAATTATTATTAATAAAATATGATCTTTATTGGTTGACCGGATACTTTTGGAAGGGTAGTGTATGTGAGATTTCAAAACAGAATGATAAGTAGTTTATTTTTAATAGATAATCTAGATAGCTAGTTTGCTTATGTATGTTCTATATATTTGTAATACTTTAACTTGTTCTTAATAAATGCACAGTGGTTAATATAAAAAAAAAATATATATATAAAAATATAAAATATTATCCTATTTTAAAGATTGTCTAAAGTGAAAACAAATCATTTGATTTGATATAATATGAGCGGACTAATTTTTTTATAAATTAAGATTAATATAAACTTAAAATCATAAAATAAGCATATTTTAGCCCGCTCTACAAGGAAAAAAAGTAGATTTTGAAAACTATTTTTGACTTTACATTTGAGCAAAAAGATTTTGCTAATCATATTCAAAAATGGATAGACAAAACTGAAAATCGAAAACGGCATTCAAAACATCATTTTGTGCTTTAAGTAAACTTGCAGAGCAAGCCAAAAATACACTTAGTGTATATGTTGTGCCCCAAGTTGATGATTGCCCCAAATCAACGATCGGCCTAAATTATCGGCCCATCTTTATAATGCCTTAAGAATTTTCAAAAGCATTACTTTTCACATATAGTAATCATCGATGATTATCGTCAATTTGGGGCATATTGAGATTTGGGGCACAACATATATATGGCGAAAAGTTTTATTTAGAAAAAATTTTTTCAGAGTCACATGATTTGCCTGCTTCCATTTTAAGTAATATTGTAACAATAAAATATAATTAAATGAAACTTTTAGTGCAATAACAATTACTTATATTTTATTTAAAAAATAATTAAAAAAATAAATATAATTTAATATCAATACATAATAAACTTCCACTACATTATAATCAAGACATAGATTGTAACACACCCTTTAAGAAAAAAAATCCTAGTAACTATAACTCTTTTATAAGTATACTAATATATAGAATGATTTTTTTTATAAAGGGCGTGAACATTAATCACAGATGGATACTGGTTACTTAAGTTAACTATCAACTGTTGTAAAATCCAATGATTCTTTATAACATTGCTACGAAAGACATTATCACAGTAGAATTCGATCAAAATTGCAAATAATAAACAGAACTAAGGTCCCAATTCTTTGCAAAAGAACCGATATCCTTTAGTAATCACTTTCCTTTCGGCATCGTCCATCTGCAAAGCAAAAATAATAAAAAAAAAAAAATAATAAATTTGATAAGAAATAAAAAAGACAAAAGAAGTTCATAGTACTGAATTTTAAACTTTGAATAATCAGATAATAAAAGGTAAAAAAAAAAAAATAAAAGAAAAATAAAGACAACTAATTGTTATCAATTTGCACATATCAGAAATGTATGGTTAATAAAAAAGTAAAAAAATTGCAATACGGAACGATACAAGGAAAGGAAAGCAAGGACAGACTCTGCATTTATTGTCACGTTAACACCATGGAAACGTCGGAAATTGCGAGATATAAAATTTCTCTGAAAACAGCGGAAAGTCGCTGAATAATTTCCAGAGAACCGATAATGAAGAACATACGATTTTGTATGTCTGTTCACGTTCTGTCTTTTGCAATTTCATTTGTATCGTCCGTATTATTCCACGGCAAAATGATTACTCAAATAAGCAGGCCTTGGTTGCGAGCAAATTACTCGTTTTCTTGATTCCTATATCATATGTTAACACATCGATGTTTAGCCAATTGATGCATGGGTCCAACCAGGTGAATAATAGCGAAATTGATCACGAGAATCGTTTGTTGTTTTAGGATCCGACAAAGATACATTAGTTCCTTTTTTTGCCGATGCGAGATTTGTATCTGTGGGATCCGTGAACCAAAATAATGAATCGGTAGTTTGATCAGATGCACAAGTATTCATATCACGATTTCCTTGATGAGTTGCTCCATTGACTTGCATGGTAGTATTATTATCAGGCGTTCCATTAATTTTATAATTGCTACCATTATTCCATTGAGTGCGCATAATATCAAAGGATGGAAATGCGAAAGCGTTAGATGTTTGAAACAAAGATTGTTGATAATTGCTACTTTGTTGTTGACCCTGTTTATGTATTTCAAAATTAGATGGATCAGAAGTAAATCCAGGAGGAGGAGCTACGGTCGTTGATGTGCCAACTTTAGCTGGAGGAGCATCTGTATAACCATTATTAGAATGGCCAAACAAACCAAATTGAGATACTTCTGAACCCGGGAATGCAAATAGAGAAGCAGATGGACTTGGGGAAGTAGCCATATTCTGATATGGGAGTGCAGTTTTTACATCATTTAATGAACGCTTAGTGGATGGGACAAGAGGATCTTGAGAGGCATTTGGAACTCCAGAAACAGGTGTTGGGCTCGCGACCGAAGTTTGGTTAATGTTCATATTCAAAAGTCCATTTGAAATAGAAGTAGGTGGTCTGCTTACAGGTGTTAGATAATCTAGTTTATCTGAAATTACGGGTTTAGTTTCTAATTTATCATATTGCATGGAGTTGTTAGTAGGGAATAATTGGGGCGTATTAAAATGATTCCAATACTTTTGTTGTTCATTTAGTTTGTTAGAAGAACCGGATGAAGTGGATGAAGTAACTGGTTGATTTAAAACTTGACTCAGTAAGAACTCAGCTGTTGTTGGGCTATCTTGTTTTTCAATTAGACGAGGTGAAGATTTTTTTGAGGTGGTTGCACTAAAAAATAAGATAATGATCTATTTAATTGATTATCGGATTTATTTTCATAATAATTAAGAACTACAAACCTTAAATTATCATTATCAATAATTGTCGAATGACGACCCGTGAATAAGATTACCTCATCCTCTGATTCATCTTCGGCTGTATCACTATTCTTTCCTTTAGGACTATTCGGTGAAAATGACTGTGATTCGGCTAGGTTATGATCGTCCCGGTCAATAATCAAGTCGGTGACAACTTTAGATTCATCTCTAGTGTCTTCTAAATCATGTTCTACAATTTCATGTTCTGCCGGAATAAGAATATTATTAACAGGAGAAGTAATTTTGCAAGGAGGTTCACTCGCGCTAAAGACTCCATCATAATAAAATAATTGAGTCAACTATAAAAAAAAATCCAATTATCTTAATATAAAATAAATATCGTAGAAAGCAATTCGATACAAAATACTTTTACACACTTCTGATTCAGCAATCTTTTTCGCATCTTCAAAAATATCATAAATACGCATGTCCACTTCTTCAAATGGCTCGACCTGATTTGCTGTTGTATTTTTATCCACAAATATATGATCCTTAAGAACCGAGAATCCGTTTAGTTCAAAATCCTCCTTCAAAGGAACATCGAGAGGAACACCTTGATCATGAGGTAATAATTTCTCCATTGCATTAAGAAATTTGGCATAACATTCCCAAAATCTTGCAAAATTACCAAACTCGCTCTTAACGTTAGGATCTTTAGAAATAATATTAGACATAGATGCTATATAATCAAGTCTCGAATAAACCCATTTCGTTCCCGCACGAAGAGATGCAAGACTCCTTTTAACAGAAGCAGGAAGAATCTGAACTGCGTTGTGCCTTTGATCCATTCCGTCAAGGGAAACATCGGTTAATTCAGAGTTGCACATGTCCAATAATGTTGTGAGGGTATCCAACACCAATAATACAGAATGCTTCTCGACAAGAGCCTTTTTGGACGATTGTGAATATGTGGATGTAGCTTTTGGGCTATGGTTAGTGCTTCCATTTTCACCTAATTCGAAGACTCAAGTTTAGAATAATTGTAAATAACAAACAAATATCGAACACTTATGATGTTTCAAACATACCGTTGGAGATGAGTCGAATTACGTATAAAGCTGCCATGTTTATCACGGTCAATTTCAAAAGATGGTCGGGTTCCAATGCACGAGAAAGTACATGCTCTTTCAATTGATTCAATACAGACGCCTTTAATTCAGAGTATGATTCTAAACTATTAAAAAAAAAATGCATTCCTTTGAATTTGTACAGAATCAAAAAAAACTCAATTCGTTAATCTATACATTAATAATGAGTAAATAATTATACGTACTTTACTTTTAAATATAATATGCTCTGTAACCTAATGAAATCAGCAAAAAAAGATTGAATTGCCTCGTTTGTCTTTAACTTATTTGACTGAGCCATTGATGACGAAGACACTTGACGTTGATGAGAAAAACGTCTTTTTCCACCATTTTCTCGCTGTTTTTGAACCATATCCGCTTCTCCGTCAGGTGAATTATCATTTTGGGCCTTATGGAACAGAAGACTAATATTATCTTTCGCTGTCAAAAATTGATGTTTGACAACAAGACTGCGATAATAATGGTAGACGGCAAGAAAGTCATCAGAATTATAAGTGGCAATCACAGCCAATTGATTATGAGGATTACCTAATAATTTTTAATAACAAATTTCGTTACGTGAACGTATGGAAAGCTTAAATAAATCTCTTTATATTTACCACTATCAGGAACTAGCTGTCTAGCATGATTATAGTAATCACATGCGGTTGACCAGTTTTTGTTTGTTCGATCACTCTGTAATTCTCGATAGCGAGCTAGATTTATAGGAATAATATTCTAGTTAATCGATGAACAATATTTGAAAATTAAACACTTGTATGTACTCACCCAAATCACCTAAGAAAATCAAACTTTTATGGCAACTAAGCACAGCTCGTTGTTTAATATCTTCAGAGTAAGAACGCTGACAAACTTCAGTAGGCTCTGGTATAAAAAAAAAATGTGAATAATTTACTTTAATCAATATAATAAATATATTAAGTTAACCAAATATTTTTAGCTAACCTATCGTTAATCCAAATTTCTTTATAACTGGATCTAACTGTTTCAACGCAAAATGAATCGCAAGTCTTTGAATAAATGAATAGTAAAATCCTGTCGCTTCATGTAGAAAAGAACGAAAAGAACTAATCAACTTTTTATTAGAAGTTGACTTAGATCTTCCATTAGCCGCAGGGGCGGGCAACTAGATGTAAAGATTTTTATCTAAGTATTCTTAATCTCTTAAAAAAAGGATAAAATGAATTTTGTTCTCCAACTCACGGCACGGATCTTCTTTCTGAAATCTTCGATAACCTTATAATACACATATTTCCACAAGTTCTGTTCAACTTCCTTAGATTGAGCAAATTCATAATCAAGAAAAATAATTTTCTCATAGATATCCCGTAACCTATTTGTTAAAGATGGAAAAAAGTATAATTTACGATTTAAAAAATGCATGAAAATAATAAACAAAACGAACACTTTACGTTAGCTTATATTTACTTAGAACGTAAAGTAGCAACTTGTTTGTCAAAAATCGATCTAGATTTTGTGGCTTGACGAAGCTCAACTTCCAACTCAACCGAAGATCTAGACGTCAAATTATTACAAAAAAGAAAACCGAAAAGAAGTAAAAAAATTAGATTAAGGATGTAATAAAGCAAAACTTTGCCTATGTCATTTTTTATATAGTATATTTGAACATTATCTGCTTCACTAAAGTCAAGAACAAAAATAATTTCATACTTATATAAATCTAAAGCAGTTTGGCAATCCGAAGACGGCATCGTCGTTTAGTTCAAGTAAGAAGAAACTATTACAAATGAGAAATTCATTCGAAAGAAATATGTCTAATATATTTATCAGCCTCGTTCCGCCACAATATATCGTTGTTTGAACATAAGTCGGATGATGATTATTATATTATGTTATATAATTGTTACCGTGTGAGACGTATCAAAGTAAACCCGGTAAGGATGTTCACTCAGATCATCTGATCAGCAGGAAAATGTAAGCAATCGTAAACAACTTATTTTAGTAACAATATCCTATAGGAACAAAAGCATGCTTTTATAGACTAATAAAATTTACGTTATATTCGTATAAGGTATTTTCTTTAACTAATTAGTATCTTTTAACTCATTTTAGTTGCTATTATTTAGTAATTTTGTATAGTATTAGCTGTATTAGCTGGAAATTTCGTAGATTTTCTAAAATAAGCAAAAAAGGTTTGTTTATAAACTATATCGTATTTGTTTAACTTTTTGTTAATTAAACCTTAAAAATCCATATTAAAAAATACCTAATATTTAAAGAAAAATTTTCTAGATAATATTAGATATATCATATATACTTTAAAGAATGGTTTTAAATTAGATTTTAAGTAAATGAAAAATAAAATTGCTATTTAAACTTATTTTTTTTTTATATATAGATTTTGATATTTTACTTAAAAAATTTATTTGCAGTAATATTACATAATTGTAATTTTTGGTTAACTGAATATTACAAATAAGAATTTTTATATTAAAAAAATTAATATATTGATTCTAATCACTAGATGCTAAAATATCTATAAAATACCTTTATTATTAAGTTTTAATAATTGTAGATAATTATTCAACATCTAATTTAATCATTTCAACTTTTGGGAATCTAAAGTTGAATTAATTTTAACTATTTTAACTATTTTGAAGTCAAAATTAACCTAATTTTAGTTTTATATATAAAGGTAGTGTAGTCAGATGAATCTAAATTTCAAATATTTAGTTCAGATAAATAATAATATTGCTGAAAAATAGTAGGAAAACTACTTCAAAATGCTTATATTAAGTTAACTGTTAAATTTGGGGGTAAGTTAGTTTTTGTTTAGGTGTTTTATGTTTTATAATATTTAGTTAGTTATCTTTGCAAAATTGATATTGAATTTTATCAAAAAATCTTAAAAAAGGATTTTATAGAGGCTTTGGATTATTATAAATTAGATGCTGAAAATATTATTTTTATGAAGATAATGATCCCAAATATACTGCTATATTAATAATTAAAAAATGGTTTAAAGATAATTATATAAAAGTTTTACCTTAGTCACTTTAGACTTCCAATTTAAATCTGATTGAACATCAGTGAAATGATATAGATTATTATATCAAATTATTAAATATTAAAATTAAAAGTAAAAATATGTTTTAGAAGCATATTTTTAATAATATAAAATAAGATTACATTAAAGACATATATTAAGCTTATAGAAACAATACCAAAAAGAATTAAAGATATCAAGTTATACTCAATAGTAAAGAGTATTTTAATTAATTTAGTTTTTTTTTAATTTTTATATAATAAATTTATTATATTAATAAAAATGCCAAAATAAATATACCAGCATTTTGACAAAAAGTTATATAATTAAAATAATTTATTTTATTAAGTTCTATTAAAATTAATGTATTATAAAAATCTAATATTATACTATATATAGTATTATAAATATTAAGTTTATATAATATCATATAATTAAAAAATATAAGATTTAAGATTTTAAAAATTTAGATATATTTTTTGAAAGCCACTACACAGGTCGAAAAGTGAAAAATCAGGCATCAAATCAGGCACCAATCAGTCACCAATCAGTTACCTGATTGGTGACCGATTGGTGCCTGATTTTTCACTTTTCAACCTGTGAGATTATGGTATATTATTTTGCTATGCTTTTTGGTTACTTTTATTCTTGATTTTAATTTTATTGGTAATATAATATCTAATGTTTGATCGGACTGGCCTAGAGCTGGAAGTATCATTCATAGAATATTTGTGATTATTATGTAGTCCAAATATATTCTAATAAAATGGTACATGATTCAACATTTAAAAAAAAAAAAAAAAAAAAAAAATAA